AATAAAAAAGAATCATTTCTGAGCAGAATCAATTCTCGGGTACATAATCATTGCCATGCGCACCTTGGGCTCTCGGCCGAAGCTGAGCGTCGGCGTGTTGTGCTCTTGCTGCTGGGAGAATTTGGTCGACAAGGCCGAGTCCAAGTCAGTCCTGATTCACGAGTTGGGCTCGGCTTGCAGACCTGACCGGCTTGGACCAGCCATGTCTGGACTTGAATAAGGACCTGGGCCAATGTAGTTAAGGGTTTATTTTAGGTGGGCCGGGCTTAGTTTTTTTAGATTTTATAGGGGATTCAGCCTATTTGTGAGCTAGATTGGACCCACACATCAGGCCCAGTCTGGCTGAGGGTCTTGCGATCGATCGGGTCCCTATTTTCGGATTAAAAATTTATTTTTTTTCAAAAATATTATTTTATTAAAAAATATATATTAAAAATAAATCAAAAAATTAAAAAATATAAAAATTCTGAAATTTTTTTTAAAAATTATGAAAAAGGTTAAAAAAATAGATTTTGAGTAGTTTTCTCTTAAAATATGTGAAAAACTTTGATAAAAAAATTGTACTCAAAATTGAACAAGCCTTTAGGGCTTTGCAATAGGATGCTAGTTCTTAGAGATAAATGCTAGGACATTGTTTGCGCATTTCCATTCTGATTATTGTTTAATTGCGCACTTTCAATATATTGATTGTTGTTTCCCTTTGACCTGTAACATCCTGAATTTTGACCCGTTATCGGGACCAATAAAGCGTATATTAATTCTCGTGTGATTTTAGTGAGTCTTGCCCGGACTTGATCAATCACGGGATACTAACCAAATGGGAAAGGCTAAATAGGAACAGGTACGTGGACCGAGAAACCGATCGCGATTGGACACTGATTTTGAGAAACGTCGAGAGAATATCTTGAGCCAATATGGGCCGATCTTAGGAAGATAACGGATTTGATACAGTTAGTAACGTACGATTGGATCGCGGGTGATTTCGCACGACCGAAAGTACGCCTGACAAACAAATCCCAAATTTTATCCGAACGATCGCGACCCCCGGTACTAGTGATAATCTCTTACCTTCTCTCGAGATTTGAGACTATCGAGACTCGGACAGTTTTAGGTCGATACGCGTAACACCTAAATAGCCACCCGTTAGTGAGAGATCCTAAGATTTCAAAACGAGCTATTTTGATCGCGATATTGAGCCGAACTTCGATATCAAAATTTCAAGGGTAATTACGACTATTTTGTATGACGGACGTCAGTTTATAGTGGCCAAGTAAGTTTGGGACAAGAACGGCTGAAAATAGGAATTTCGACAAAAATTGGGGAAAATTACGGTTTTGCCCCCGTGGGCACCGGGACTGGATTCGGAGGCCGTTTGAGGTTATTTTTCACGGCCAAGGTCATTTTGGAGTGGCCACGTACATTTAGAGTGGTTTTGGACAAAAACGGGAATTTCGGCAAAAATTGGAAAAATAATATTATTTTATTCCCGGGACTTCGCAGGAGATTTTCGAAGGCTTAGAAAGTGGATTTCGCGAATCCGACACCGTATTATGTCTCCCATGAACATATAGGACCGGTATGGACAAAAATTGAAATTTCGGTCCGGGATCGGAAAATTACGAAAATGCCCCTAGGCCATTTTAATTTATTCCGAAATTTGGATAAATTTTGGGGACTAACTAAGGTTAAGTAGACCAAACCAGACCTGGTCAGCCTTGGTTAGGGGCATTTGACCATCTCACCCTTGCATTATTGGAGGAGAATGAGCCTAGACCATTGGATTAAAGGGCAAATTATCCAAACCCTTGGATTGTTGACACATGGACTCCACTCACCCAAGTTTGACCACATTTGACCTTCTTCTTCTCTCTCCTCAGTCTCTCTCAGCTCACGTTCTCTCTCCCGAGCAGCCTCACGATCGTCCTCTTCACGCCGTTCTCTGCCCGTATGCTCCGCCGGCCACTGTTCACGCCGGAACAACCGCGCCGCCGAAGGCCGCCGACCTCGAGCCGCCGCACAAGACACCCCCGGCACCGCCCCCGGCCTCCGTCGACCAGCCCCACCCCCTGCGCATTGTCCGCCCCACGCAGCATTTGCTCCAGCGAGAGAGAGAAACACCGCCGGGTCTTCACCTCGCCGGCACCGCGCCGCCGTCCACCGCCGTGCGCCGCCCCGTCGACCACCTCGCCTCACCGTCTCTCTCCACCATCCTCAGCCCGTGCGCCCAGCAGCTCCCCTGTTTCGGTTGTGTGTGTGGCCGTGAGCCACGCCGGCGCCGCCATGACCGCCGGCTTGCCCCCGGAGCGCCGCCGTCGATTCTCACCGCGTGTCGGTAATCGGCTGCCCGCTCCCGTCGCCTCGAGTCGATTTTAGGCGAGTAAAAATCCCTAAACGCCGAACTAGTCTATTTATGCGATTTAGGGGTAAATTTAGGGTTAATTAAGCTAAATTATGGCCTAATTAGGTGTATATGTGTGTGAGCTGATTAAGGGACCTAATCAGTGCCTAATGAAGTGAGTTAGAGGTGGATTATGGCCTAATTGGTGTTCTGCCCTGGTACTGTTCATACAGTACCGAAATTGTGTAGTTTGCCTAAGTGTTTCACTAATTGGGTTCAATTGCTAAGGACTTTGAATTGGACATTTTGGGGACTAATTAGGCTTAATTGAGGCTTAATTAAGTATATTTGATTGTTGGGTGATTAGGGTTTGAGACTAGAGCCTAATGAGGGTGTTTAATTGTGGTTTAGTGGACAAAATGTGTCCTCCCCTGGTACTGTTCATTCAGTACCGAATTTGTGCAAATCGTCCAAGTTGAGTATTTAATGGATGATTATTTGATGGCAAGAACTTAGGCATTTTAGGGGTTGATTAGGACTTGTATAATCCTATTGAATGACCCGAATTGGTGAGAATGGTTATTGAGACCAAAGTGCCCAAGGCGGGCCTTAGGCGCATTGAATTACCTTGGAAAGGATTGCGCGGATAAAATGTGGAGTTCTTGAACTAGAATGAAATTGTTTGGGAAAGCCGGGAATGAGTGGCATAAGTCTAATTTGATCATAATTATGCTTGGTAAATTTGATATCAGGATTTGGCTTGAATTCCCGAACATATGTTTTGTAAATCAAGTTGTGATTGGTTGAAATTGAGTGAAACGATGTACATGCTTGAGTTATATTAAATTGTGGCCTTCGGGTCGGGCCTTCGGGTCGGGCCTTCGGGTCGGGAGGAATTGTGGCCTTCGGGTCGGGCCTTCGGGTCGGGAGAAATTGTGGCCTTCGGGTCGGGAAAAATTGAATATGTTTTATATTGATATTAAAAGTCTAACCTGCATGGCGGAGTAGTGAATTGGGCTATGGGCCCGGGTGAACTTATATTGATTGTTCTACTGGTTCAGTGATTTATGTGTTTTATTTACCCTCTGGAGGTGCACATTAGCCTAGTTTAGGATTAGTGGTTTTTACTTGCTGAGTTTTCTCACGGTTGTGGTAAAACCGACTTTTCAGATCTCCCGCCATGAACTTCGACGATGCACCGTTACGCTTTGGGATTCCCCACCATATAGAGCGTACGCTGACCGTGCACCCCGTGGGGAACGGGGAGAAGTACTATAGACACTATGCTTTAGTATGGGTAGACGTAGGCTTAGCTCACTTTGAGACTCACGAATACCTAGCCTGGTGTTTCCGGGATCGTTTTGGAGTAGAATTCGGTCCCATCAGGTCCGCCGACGTCCCGTTTGTGGGAGAGGGTCAGCTAGATATTCAGTGTCCAGACGGTGATGTAGTAGATGTTGATATGGAGGGCAATCCTGATTCTGAGGTTGAGTACGAGATTGTGGAAGAAAAGGAAGAGCACGAGGAGCTTGGTGGATTAGCCTTCGAGCCGGAGATAGTCGATCCAGCTCCAGAGCAGGTGGACGCAGAAGCCCCTGAGCCTATGGACATAGACGAGTACGATGAGCAAGACCCTGAGCCAGAGATAGAGTTGGAGGCCATGAGTTCTGAGGAGGATCAAGAGCAATTCGAGAGTTCTTCGGAGTCGTCGGGTTTTGATCCTGACTGGGTACCGTAGGTTAGATATCAGTATAGGAGTGAGGGTCGACACTTTTTGACCGTACCCCTCCGGTAGTTAGTTGACACCCCTAGGTCACCGATCCCTTTTTGTTCGTGGCCTTTTGATGTACCTTTTTGTTTATAGATGGATAATGTATATGGGGGTTTAATCGATCGTAATTTGTTTTCTCTTGCCACTCATGGTTGCTTTTAAATTGTCTGGGTGTATATGTATATTTATTATATATACGTCGTTTCCGCATGAGGCGTGTTTTCTCTGATTTGGGTTTCGGGTCGGTGACGTAGCCTGGGAGCGTCGCACTACTATTTCGACCTATAAGCGGGATGCTCATCCTTCGTGGGGTACGGGGCGTGACATCCCAGTCCGAAGTGGTATCAGAGCAAGGACAGCTCGGTCCATTCTGGTCGAGCCTTGGAGTGATAAGGAGGAGTGACCATGGGTAGCCATAGGGTGACCTAGTGTGCTAAGTGTACCTCCAGATTGCTTGTGTTTGAATGTTGTGGTGATTATTTGAACCAGTATTATGCAGGTGCGGCAGGATCCAAGGTAAATGTGCGAGTTCTTGGGTGAAAATTATGTGCCGTTATGCTAGCTGCATGCTGAGTGTTTCATTGCTTTTGTATTGATACCTGCCTAGGACTTAGACCGGATTGTTTGGTTTAGGTCTCTAATTTCTGGACGGAATTATATTAGGTAGTTGAGCACTCAGATTTGGAAGGATGAGCAGCGAAGGAGGAAGTGTGAGAAGATTCCCAAGGAGGGGCACAGGAAAAGGAACTAGAGGTGGGGGTCGTGCTCGAGTGAGAGCTGTAGAAGACCTCGAGACGGGTGTTAGAGCGGCAGGAAACCCCGGAGTCAATGCTGGAGCTGCAGTAGACCCCAGAATGGAATAAGTGATCGAAACCCTAAGAGAAATAGGGAATGTCATGGGCAGACAGGCCCAAGATAGAGCAACAGTCATTTGCTGAGGCTGCTGGGGCTGCAGCAGCCGCTGCCATCAATGGGAATCAAGCCCAAGTCCGGCAAGCTCAAGCTCAACCAATGGTAGCAGCTAGACCAATACACCAGTCGGTGGAACAGTTTCTTAAGCTGAAACCGCCCAAGTTCACGGGCAGAGGTGACCCAGAAACCGCCCCACGTTGGGTGGAGGAGTTGGAGAAAGCATTCGACTTGTTAGGGTGTACTGAGGCAGAAAAGATTTCGTTGGCGACCTACCAGCTGCAAGATAATGCGCACGACTGGTGGAAGGCAGTTAAGGATAGAGTATTTCCAGAAAATATGGAACAGACCTGGACAATTTTGGTTGAGCATTTCTATGGGCAGTTTTTCTCAGAAAGTGCCCAGGAGAAGAAGATGGCGGAGTTCATGAGACTTCGTCAGGGGTCGATGACAGTAGTTCAGTACGAAGCAGAGTTCACAAGACTGTCCGATTCGCCTCAAGGATGGTTGAGAATCCGCTGGATAAAGCTCGAAGATTCCGGGATGGACTGAAGTCGGATCTTCATACCCAGATGCTTTTACTGAATATCAAAGATTACAGAGAATTGTATGAGCGAGCCCAAACGATGGAGCGAGATCAGATGGAAAGGACAGCAGCATCGGGTTCAAGGTTTAATCAGAATCGGGACAATCGTCGCTTCGGCAAGAAGCCGATGGCTAGCAATAGACGGTTTGTTCCACTTCCGAGAAGGAATATAGGGAAACCCGGCCAGACGCCAAATAAATTCGGGGCTTGTTTTCGTTGCGGGAGTTTGGGACACCAGATAAAGGATTGTCCCCAGCAACGACCTTTAAGACCCCCAGGACAACATCAGCAGCCCAGAGTAGGAAATCATGCCAGAAATCCCCCACCGGCTATTCAAGGCAGACCACCTGCACAAGGACGGGTATACGCAATGGCGCGTAAGGATGCGGAGGACGCGCCAGGCGTGGTCACAGGTACCATCTCTCTCTGTGATCATGCTGCCTATGCGTTATTTGATCCCGGGGCAACCCATTCGTTTATTTCAGAACAGTTTGTTAGATTGGTTGGTCTGGAGCCTATATTACTTGCAAGCATGTTATGTGTGACGATCCCATTGCATGATAGGGTGTTAGTATCATTGGGGTGCTTGGGCTGTAAAATCGTGATTGGGAATGTAGAGGAAAGGATTGATTTGGCTGTGTTAGCCATGTATGATTTCGATGTGATCATCGGTATGGATTGGCTGACGAAGCAGAAAGCCGTTATGGATTGCGGCAATAGGACAGTCCAATTTAATCCGATTGGACATCCTAGGTTTGAATTTCAGGGAAACCGAGGAGGAACCTCAATCCCTTGGATCTCCTCAGTAGAGGCAACTGAGATGCTCGAGGAAGGTTGTGAGGGATATTTGGTTAATGTTAAGGATCCGACCTTAGCGGAACCCAAGTTGGAAGAAATCCCTATTGTGTGCAATTTCCCCAAGGTTTTCCCTCAGGAATTGCCAGGCTTACCGCCAGAACGGGAAGTGGAGTTCGTAATAGAATTGGCCCCAGGTACTGAACCGATTTCTAAGGCCCCATATCGGATGTCCCTATCGGAGTTAAAGGAGTTGAAAGTCCAAATGCAGGAACTGCTGGATAAAGGGTTCATTCGTCCTAGCGCGTCTCCATGGGGAGCGCCAGTCCTATTTGTGAGGAAAAAGGACGGGACGTTGAGATTATGTATAGACTATCGGCAGTTGAATCAGGTGACTATAAAGAATAAGTATCCACTGCCCAGAATTGACGACTTATTCGATCAATTGCAAGGAGCGTCAGTGTTCTCCAAGATTGATCTACGGACCGGGTATCATTAGTTAAGAATTCGGAAGGAGGATATACCCAAGACTGCATTTAGGACGAGGTATGGGCATTACGAGTTTACAGTCATGCCATTCGGTTTGACGAATGCCCCTGCAGCTTTCATGGATCTGATGAACAGAGTTTTTAAGGAATTCCTGGACCAGTTCGTCATTGTGTTCATTGACGATATTCTAGTATACTCGAAGAGTCCAGAAGAACATGAAGTGCATTTGACTGAAGTATTACGGACGTTGAGGGAGCACGCACTTTATGCGAAGTTCAGCAAATGCGAGTTCTGGCTTAGCAAGGTAGCATTCCTTGGACATATTGTATCGGGAGAAGGAATATCTGTGGATCCAACTAAGATTGAGGCAGTGCTCAAGTGGCCCAGACCGACATCAGTGACGGAAATCAGGAGTTTCTTGGGATTGGCCGGTTATTATCGACGTTTCGTGGAAGGATTCTCGTTGATAGCCATGCCATTAACGCGATTACTGAAAAAAGAGGTTAAGTTTGAATGTGATGACAAGTGCGAACGAAGCTTTCAGGAACTTAAGCACAGACTGACAACAGCTCCAGTCTTAACTATTCCATCTGGACCAGGTGGATTTGAGGTCTACAGTGATGCTTCACTCAGAGGACTCGGTTGTGTACTAATGCAACATGGAAAAGTAGTTGCATATGCGTCACGTCAGTTGAGACCACACGAGTTGAACTATCCGACGCATGACCTAGAGTTGGCTGCCATTGTTTTTGCACTTAAAATCTGGAGACATTATTTATGTGGGGAAAAGTTCCAGATTTATACGGATCATCAGAGCCTCAAATATCTGTTTTCGCAAAAAGAGCTAAATATGAGGCAGCGTAGATGGATGGAACTTCTGAAAGATTATGATTGCGACATCATGTACCACCCTGGAAAGGCGAATCGAGTGGCGGATGCGCTAAGTCGCAAATCAAGTATGGCGCATATGATGATCAAGGAGTGGACGTTATTGGAAAAGCTTCAAGACTCAGAATTTAAATTTGAATTAGGCCATGTGTCAAATCTGCTGGCTACTTTGAGAATCGAGCCGGAGATTCAGACCAAGATTAAGGCGCTGCAGTCCACGGATCAGGAAATTCAGAAAATCGTGGAAATGGATGTCGCTACAAGGAAGCCAGATTTCCAAGTATCAGATGATGGAATCCTGAAATTTAGAGGACGATGGTGTGTACCTGATGATACTGAGCTTAAGGAAGAGATACTAAGAGAAGCTCATCGCAGCAATTACAGTATCCACCCTGGCAGTACGAAAATGTACCAGAATCTACGCCAATATTATTGGTGGAATGGAATGAAGACGGATGTGGCCAGGTATGTGGCTAAGTGTTTGACATGTCAGCAGGTAAAGGCGCAACACTGTAAACCTGGAGGACTGCTGCGACTGTTGGAAATTCCCGAGTGGAAATGGGAACACATCACCATGGACTTTGTAACCGGATTGCCGAGAAGCCAAAGAGGGCATGATTCCATTTGGGTGATTGTGGATCGACTTACGAAGTCGGCACATTTCTTAGCTGTACGAAAGGATTTCGAGCTGGAAAGGTATGCAGAACTGTATGTGAGACAGATCGTTAGACTGCATGGAGTGCCGGTAACAATTACATCAGATCGTGACCCGAGGTTTACGGCGAATTTTTGGAAAAGTCTGCAGACGGCCTTGGGAACAAAAGTGCAGTTCAGTACAGCTTACCATCCACAGACTGACGGTCAATCAGAAAGGACGATTCAGACCCTCGAGGATATGTTAAGGGCTTGTGTATTGGACTTCCAAGGTAAATGGGAAGAACACCTACATTTGGTAGAGTTTGCGCATAATAACAGCTATCAGCAAAGTATCCAGATGGCCCCATTTGAAGCCTTATACGGCAGAGCATGTAGGACTCCTGTGTGCTGGGATGAAGTAGGTGAACGGAGTATTACTGGCCCATAGTTGATCCAGCAGACAGTGGAAGTTGTCAAGATTATCCGAGAAAGGCTGAAGACAGCTCAAAGTCGCCAGAAGAGCTATGCCGATCGGAGACGACGACCTTTGGAATTCCAAGTTGGAGACCATGTATTCCTCAAGGTGTCGCCTATGAAAGGGTTATCACGATTTGGCAAGAAAGGGAAGCTGAGTCCGAGGTTTGTCGGACCGTTCGAGATCTTAGAAAAGATTGGCGATATGGCGTACAGGCTTGCCCTGCCACCTAACTTGTCCCAGGTACACAATGTCTTCCACGTGTCGATGTTGAGAAAGTATGAACTAGACCCGACACACGTTCTAAGATATGAAGAAATAGACGTGGACGACATGGTGTCGTACGTGGAGAGACCAGTCAGAATTGAAGATCGAAAAGATCGAGTACTACGGAATAAGACGATTTCGATGGTCAAGGTAGTCTGGGAACACCATGGGATGGAAGGCGCTACATGGGAAAGCGAGGAGGCCATGCGACGTAAACACCCCCAGTTGTTCGAGGAACAAGTTTAGAGTACAAATTTCGGGGACGAAATTTTTATAAGGGGGGAAGAGTTGTAACATCCTGAATTTTGATCCGTTATCGGGACCAATAAAGCGTATATTAATTCTCGTGTGATTTTAGTGAGTCTCGCCCGGACTTGATCAATCACGGGATACTAACCAAATGGGAAAGGCTAAATAGGAACAGGTACGTGGACCGAGAAACCGATCGCGATTGGACACTGATTTCGAGAAACGTCGAGAGAATATCTTGAGCCAATATGGGCCGATCTTAGGAAGATAACGGATTTGATACAGTTAGTAACGTACGATTGGATCGCGGGTGATTCCGCACGACCGAAAGTACGCCTGACAAACAAATCCCAAATTTTATCCGAATGATCGCGACCCCCGGTACTAGTGATAATCTCTTACCTTCTCTCGAGATTTGAGACTATCGAGACTCGGACAGTTTTAGGTCGATACGCGTAACACCTAAATAGCCACCCGTTAGTGAGAGATCCTAAGATTTCAAAACGAGCTATTTTGATCGCGATATTGAGCCGAACTTCGATATCAAAATTTCAAGGGTAATTACGACTATTTTGTATGACGGACGTCAGTTTATAGTGGCCAAGTAAGTTTGGGACAAGAACGGCTGAAAATAGGAATTTCGACAAAAATTGGGGAAAATTACGGTTTTGCCCCCGTGGGCACCGGGACTGGATTCGGAGGCCGTTTGAGGTTATTTTTCACGGCCAAGGTCATTTTGGAGTGGCCACGTACATTTAGAGTGGTTTTGGACAAAAACGGGAATTTCGGCAAAAATTGGAAAAATAATATTATTTTATTCCCGGGACTTCGCAGGAGATTTTTGAAGGCTTAGAAAGTGGATTTCGCGAATCCGACACCGTATTATGTCTCCCATGAACATATAGGACCGGTATGGACAAAAATTGAAATTTCGGTCCGGGATAGGAAAATTACGAAAATGCCCCTAGGCCATTTTAATTTATTCCGAAATTTGGATAAATTTTGGGGACTAACTAAGGTTAAGTAGACCAAACCAGACCTGGTCAGCCTTGGTTAGGGGCATTTGACCATCTCACCCTTGCATTATTGGAGGAGAATGAGCCTAGACCATTGGATTAAAGGGCAAATTGTCCAAACCCTTGGATTGTTGACACATGGACTCCACTC